AAAAAAACAAAACAAAACGGGAGCACTTTCGTTTGGAATTTCATCATAAGGAATGTGCATTCGTTATAACGAATGAGCATTCGTTATGGTTATTTTTCGATAAAAAACACCTAAAACTCGTTACATAATCCGTTATAAAGCTAATACACTAGTTGTAGGTACAATTTTACTTATTTTTCATGTAAAATAGGGAATGTACAAAGATTTTACATGATTTATTTATTTTTCAAAAACAAAAAAAAAACAAGTGTACTTATTTCACAAAAAGAGTTTCGTTATGAGTATTTCCACGCTTGAATGGGTCCAAACTATCGTTCAAAGGTGATATATGACCAAGATACAATGTTTAATATGTCATTCCATAAAAAAATCAAAACGGGAGCACTTTCGTTAGAAATTTCATCACAACGAATGTAAATTCGTTATAACGAATGAGCATTCGTTATGGTTATTTTTCGATAAAAATCACATTAAACTTGTTACATAATCCGTTATAAAGATATTACACTAGTTGTAGGTACAATTTTACTCATTTTTCATATAAAATAGGGAATGTACAAAGATTCTACATGATTTATCTATTTTTCAAAAACAAAAAAAAAGTGTAGTTATTTCACAAAAAGGGTTTCATTATGAGTATCTCCACGCTCGAATGGGTCCAAACTATCGTTCAAAGGTGATATATGACCAAGATACAATGTTGAACACGTCATTCCATAGAAAAAAAAAAACCAAAACGGGAGCACTTTCGCTAGGAATTTCATCATATTACGAATGAACATTTGTTATGGTTATTTTTCGATAAAAAATACCTAAAACTCGTTACATAATCCATTATAAAGATATTACACTCGTTGTAGATATAATTTTACTCATTTTTCAGTAAAATAAGGGATGTACAAAGTGTTGTGATTATTTTTGTTACGTTTTTTATTGTTATTTTACATTTATTTTCCCTCATTTTTAGGTCTTTTAGAAGGTCTTTCGGTCCATTTAGTTGTTTTTGGTTATTTTTGTTGTTCTAGTGTTTATTGTGTATTTTGTGGTTTTTCGTGTGTTTTCGTGTATTTTTGTGTGTTTTTGTGTTTTTCCGGTTTTTGGTGTAATTTCAGGTATAATAAGTCTGGATTTTCGAGAGTTATCGTTTCCGACGCATTGGTATCGAGCCCCGTGAAGATTTGAGTTACAAGATAAATTGCTCTTTTGAGCATAGCTGGAAAGAAGAGCTCGTTAGTAACGCGTAGGAGAAAACGGAACTAAATTTCGAGTCCGAATGATCCCAAACGAGAAAAAACCGTAAAGCCGCGCAAGCTGCCCAAGCCTCGCGCCGCGGCCACTTTTCAGCATAACTTTGGGGCAACTTTTGTAACTAATTATGGCCAGTATATAACATTGAAATTAAGAGGGGTTCGTTAGCTATGCGTAGGAGAAAACGGAACTCAATTCCGAGTCCGGACGAGCCCGTACGAGCCAAAACCGTAAAACCGCGCAAGCTGCCAAGTCTTGTTCAACATGGGCGGCGCCCACTTTTCAAACATGGATGTTGGGCGGATTTTGGAAGATTTTGGGCTGATTTTTGATAGATATGCTAGCCATTAATACATAATGATCTTAAGATGATTTTGATGTGATTTTGTCCCCTCTTGGACTAGTATAAATACATCATTTGTGAGAGGTCTTAAGGGAGAGTTCGGAAAGGAAGTTTTAGCTTGAGTTCTTAGATACAAATATTAGAATTAGTACAAACA